CTCTGAGGAGAGCGGAGATCCGGACGCTGAGGGCGCCCCGCGTCTTCCCATTGTTAGATGAGACCAAGTGGGAGGAGTGTGGACGAGCGCATTGACGAGCAGGAGGGCCTTGCCCCGCTTGAAAGACGCGTTGGAAATGTGCTGATGCTGCTGGAAATCAAAGAGCCCTATGAGCAGGTGAGGTTCATGAACTTGGAAGTCTCAGATGTGAAGGAGGAACGGAGGTTCCTGGCAGGTACTGCCCTCGGAGGTTTCTTCGTGTAAAGGACAGTGTTGTTTGGAGTTCGCGCTGGCCCGTTGGTATGGGCCACGTCTCAACATTGATAGCCAGATCAACACAAGCGTTGTACCACAAGGACAGATGCAGGTTGCAAGTGTTTGTATAGTTATAGTTTGTGGATGACCCCTTGATGGTTGCAAGGGGAACTCAGGCACAGTTGTTGAGCGTGTTCAACATTGCTTTGATGTGGTGGCTTACATTGGAGCTTCGCATTGCGTGGCACAGAGGCTGCATAGGCAAGGAGGTTGAATGGATAGGCGCCAAGATCCAGCTGGAAGATGAGAACCTGTTTGTCAAGGTCACCGTCACACAAACAAAGCTGGAAGAGTGGAGAGCCTTAGCTAAGGCCTTGGATGCAAAATTTACTGGCAAGATGTCTTGGGCGTCAGGCTCCTTTGTACAGCTCAAACCCTTTGTGCACACGTTGATGCTGTTACAAACCAAAGAAGTTGAGTGGTCAGGCCACAGTATATCACAGACAGGTTGAGCCTGCGCTGAGGTGGAGACAAAAGTTTCTGGAACAGTGTGGGCGGGTGAAGCTGGAGCATGTGATACAGGCGCGCGCCAGACATCGCTGCTTCCTCGACTTCTTGGTGGACGCATCACCTTGGGGAGGCGGGGCGGTGAGACTTCAATCGGGCCAGTCCGTGGAGACAATGGCTTTGGTTTCGCAAGAAGACGAGGCCAAACTTGGCACCAAGATTGGCGATGCTGGCTCACAGGCCATATGGGAGGCCTACATGATGTTGCGCTGCTTGTGGGTGTGGCTTGACCAAGATGGTTGGGGCTACATGCTTTCAGTGCTCTTGCGAAGAGAGCCACAGTGTCACCTCTGTTGAATGTCGTGACAAAAGAAATGGCGCTTGGCTCTCCATCATGCAGCGTTGGAGGCAGTGCATCTCTACCCAGGACAATAGGTGGGCCGACGATTCCTGCAGCGCCCGCCAGAGATGCAACACGCGCTTCCAAAGTGGCATGAGCTGTGAAGGGTGAGGGAAGCGTTGGGACTTCACATCTGAGGACGGCAGGGGGAGAGAACCAGGGTGTTTGAGATAGTGTTGTAGCGTGCCGTTCTCGGATTCGTACGAATCGCCATTGCAGCCACGTCGCCATGTGAGGCAACCGCCTGGTCGATCAAGACCAAGCATCAGACCGTGCGGGGGGATCACATTCGTTTTGAGATTCTTTGTCATGTCGTGGTTGGTTGACTTGGCTTGTCGTGTCGGCGGTCGGTTCGAAAGTGCCGGGCCTGCAGGTCAGGCCGGAACAGGGGGCTAGATATCAACCGCCCCATCCTATGGCACTTCGAAGACAGCACTTCTGACTTCAGTGTCACGCATTGAGTGTCAACACACAGTGCAACTGACGCAAGCCACCGGCTGCGAATTTTGTGATGCGGGGCCCTTCCATGAAACCTGTCAGGGCACTCATATATGCCCGCCCTCCCCTTCCCGTTGGGGAGAGGACACAGACTCTGACCGGGAGGAGGATGACGAGGAAGATGGTGACTGGTAAGTGGTCGTAGACAACAGTGGAAGAGGGGATCATGGAATCCCTTCTCAAAGCAAGGCAAATTGGCAGAGCAGCTGGGAACCACCGGGTTCGGCCAGCAACATCAAAGAAGCGCTGGAGGACCAGATCTGTTGAAGAAAGCGTTGGTGACTTTCACAAGTTCGCGGCCTCCAACTTGGCCTCCACACAGGCCACAGCGCACTGGTGGGAAGGCAAAGCACAGTTCTTGGGAGTGACCGATAGGCCTGGCAGGGGCGCGTTTGAAGGTGGGCCAACACGGCTCTGCAGTACTTGTTTGCAATGAAGCGTGAGCGCCTCACCCAGGGGGCAGAGTGGACGTTGAACCTTGCTGTCAGAGATCAGGTGCTGCGTGAGAGGAATGGGTGCTGACAAGCAGTGTCAAGCTCCATGGGTTGTGTGATGCCCTTCGATGTGTTCTTATTGTTTTCCATGTTCGCACGCAAGATTACGGCCCGCTGCTAGTCACCAAGCAGCACAAGGTTCCACCAACGAAATCAGGTATGGTGAAAACGTTTCGAAGAGTGGCAATGGCCATGGGCTACGCCGAAGAAGACTGCCAGCCATCAAGATGTGGCGCTTTACACGATACAATTATTTTGCAGCGGGGGGGTGACACGATTTTGCGCTACCTGAGGGATGTGCATTTGGAAGGTTCGGAAGGCTGTCTAAGAGTATGACCAGAGGAAGTTGAAGCTTACCCCTGGTGAGAAGTCCAGGAAGAAGATGGACAAATCCATTGTGGAGGGCGTGGAGGCCACAAGCTCAGAGTTGATGAAAGGAACCACAGAAGCCCGAGATGAGATCCTGCAGGTTCTTGCTGAACTCAAGGAGACAGACATGTCAGCCAAATAGACTGAGGTGAGGAGTTGTCTTGTCGCTTTCTCCCACCGTGTGTGCAGACTTTGAGTACCCGTAGCTGTGATGAGTTCAGACATTTGACTGATTTCAAATTTTGGAATGAAATCCCTGATCCCAGTAAGAACTTCCGCTCGCGTGTGCAAGAGTGCTGGATGCTTGAGTTGGCTGAACGCTATGCCAAGGCGTTGTGAGACCAGCTACAGGAAGCAAAATAGTCCCACTTAGCTGCGTGAGGGGGGTGAGGTGGAGAATATACATCCAACCGGGAGTTATGGGGAGCGCTGCCAGGTATTGGCAGCAGCTGGGCCTTACACACGCCTGAGAACAGTTGGGGTGAGGTGGGTAGGGAGAACTTTTCTTTCTTTAGACGTATGCAACGATTTGTTGCGAAGGCCACAGTGGCCGTAATAACACGAAGTCGTTCAAGTCTTTGTTTGGGTGGATGGGAGGGTTGAGATTTATGTGGTGGTGTCCATTTTAGCTCAAGGCCATGTGGGCACCATCATCCTCCTCCATCAGAATCTCGCCCACCCTTGGTTTCACTGCCCTGTTGTAGCTTCAGAGGGGGGCGAGGTGGAGAGTGGCCTCCAGCATCCAAAGGCATCCATCCGGCTGGACGCTCTTACTGGTCCACTGCTGGGAAGGCAGGACTTTACACACGCCTGAGAAAAGTTGGACGAGGTGGGTAGGGAGAACTTGTCTTTCTGTCTGTCTGTCTGTCTTGCTTGCTTGCTTGCTTGCTTGTTTTTTTTTTCCTTCTTTCTTGGTATGCGACGATTTGTTAATGGTGCCAAGGTTACCGCGGTTACCGTGCAAACCCACAGTTATCGCTGACCGCCCCGCAGCCTGGTTCACCACACCCCGCTGATGTGTACCAAGAACCGCCATACGCTCGTGCCTGGTGCCGCTGACCAGTGGCAACGGCAGTGCAGAAACCACCCACGCTCCTTGCCAATGGCCCACCCACCAAACCAATCACCCAGCGTCGAAGGTCAGGATCTGCACTTGCGCTCTTGACAGCCAGTGTGACTTTGTGGAGTGGCATGGGGGCCAGGCTGGGCCTCGCCAGGCCGCCAGACAGCCAGAAGTGCCCAAGTTCGTGCCCGCCTCAATCTGCACTCTCCTGGTTTCAGGAAGCTGGTCCCGTGACACTGACATTTCCAAATCAGGTGCACAGGCTTCAGGGGCACATGGCATAAAGGGCATGCGGCATTGAGCTCTTTCCCCAATAGATGTGGGTCACCAGTGGGCCCTCAGTGAGCCTTGGGTCCATGTGGCCGATGCTGCGCGCTGCTCTTTGGATCATTTTTTCACAGGCGATGAATCCGCTGGGGCACGTGCCCTCTTCACAGAAGGTCCTTGCCTGAATCCTCCTCAACCTTTGTAACTTGAGTTCCTGCAGAACCTGCCTCTTGATGAAGACCCGAGGCTGCTCCAAGCATAGCTGAGCCGGAGGCAACAATTCATCTGCTGGGCGCACCCCATCAAAGAGCTCTGTCAGGTCCCAACAAAAAATCTTCGAGGTAGCATTGCATTGTATGTGTCGATTTGTGGAGAAACATCAAGTTCACTGGCAGTTACATTTTTGATAGGTGGTGAGGTGGTGACAGGTTGCCTGAGTGCCAAACTGTGCCGCGTTATTGCATGCAAAATGTTGAATTTGCATGGTGACAACCTTTTCGGGCATCCTTTCGTTTTGCTTTTGGTTTCCCTTTGGTGACATTTTTTCTGATGCGCTGTAAAATCTTTGTTCACGAGGGACTGAGTGACCTGCTGGAACAAGGTGTTGCCCTCATTTCGATGTGTGGCTAAAGTTTCGGCATGTTCCACAAGTCTTGCTATGATGCTTTGTCATCTTCAAATTAGCTGCTGTGGTCATCAGCTGCGAGGAGAAGCCGGCTGCCTTTAGCTGATGCCTGTATGCCAAAGAATGTGTGCCACTTTAGACGGTTGCCGGCCACTTGCACCTAGCTGCAGCAATGCACCAGCGCTAGATCACTATGATAGGCTTGCGCCCGCGCCACAAGTGCCATGTGGTGGTCAAGCCGTGAGTCAAGCCTCCTTCACCGTTTCCAGGGCAGTGTAGTGATCGTGGTGGTGGTGATGATGATGATGATGATGGTGGCGGTGGTGACAAGGTTGAAAAAAAAGAAATGTCCAATCTTGTCCGGTCGCAAGCCAAAGCCACATGAGATCGAGTATGTGCACATGGGGGGTTTCAAGGTTGAGAACGGCATGTTTGTTGCCACTTTAGGGTTCCATTGAATTAGTGTTTCATTGGATGGCAATGATTGCATTTTGTTGTACTTTGTCGGGCTGTGCCGGGCAGGCTGTGTCACATGCTTTGGCGGCAGTGGCCTGGGTACAGACTGGCAAGACCGAACCAGCTTCCACCTTGCGCAGGGATAAAGCTGCATCCAAGGGTTGGCTCTCGAATGAGGGATTGCTCAAGGAGTCCACAGGATACATTTCCGTGAAACAACCCATGCAAGCAAAGGTTGAGGCACATGCCAAAGTGGAAAGCCCTTTGGTTGAGGAAACCTCGAGTGCCTCAACCTGTGGCATTGACATTACTCGTCTCAGGCCACGAACAGCTAGACTACAGCATCAGTGGAAGGACAACAATGCCGCAGAATGGAAAGCGATGTTGCGGCAAGGCGAGTTGGTTTCTCCAAAGGAAAACCTACTCGCCCTTAGGCGTCCCCCCGTGAAGCGAAAACAGGAAACCACAGCAGAACCTGAAAAGAGGGCACGCCGCAGTGACGACAGCAATGACAAGATTTACATGCAGCGACAAGCAAGGTGGAAAGCACAAGTGCCATCCACAAAGCTTGAGCCAAAGGGCGAACATGCAGTTTGCAAGGAGGAGCTGGGCAAAGATCATTCGGTTGTGATTTCCAAAGGCTTTGGCCAAGGCTCTAGTGAAGACATAGATGTTGGCAATGGCCTTTCATGTCCAAGGTGGTTATGGGAGGCTTTGTACCCATATCAGCACACATGTGTCCACTGGCTTTGGGGCCTGCATGGCCAGAAGATGGGTGGCATTCTTGCAGACGAGATGGGTTTAGGAAAGACGATACAGATCATAGCATACCTAGCTGTGTTGCATCATTCAGGTGTGCTTCAGGATTTGAAGGTGCAGAACACTTCCCTTGGTTCAGCGAGTCCTCCAAGAAGTGGAGGAGTGCTTATAGTTTGTCCAGCTACTCTGATCAATCAATGGCGCAATGAAATACACATGTGGTACCCACCCTTGCGTGTATGCGTCATGCATCAGCTCAATGAGGCAGAAAGAAAAGAAGCCATTAAGCAGGCATGCTCAAACCAAGGCATCCTCATAACATCCTATGAAACGATGAGGCTCTCCATTGATGCGCTGCTTGAAGCAACATGGGTGATTGTCATTCTGGATGAGGGCCAGAAGATCCGCAATCCACATGCAAGCTTGACAATTGCATGCAAACGGTTCAGCACAACACACCGAATTCTTCTTTCTGGCTCGCCAATTCAAAACAACCTTCGAGAGCTGTGGTCGCTGTTCGACTTTGTTTGCCCTGGACGTCTTGGAACACTTCCCGTCTTTACTGAGGAGTTTGCCCAACCTATAGAGAATGGCAACGTCATGGGAGCAACTGAACCCAAAGTTGCTGCTGCCTACCAATGTGCAGTGGCCTTGCGGGAGCTTACAGAGCCGTGCATTCTGAGGCGCACTAAAGCAGAGTGCATGGACATTTTGCACCTACCAGCCAAGCAGGAACAAGTCCTGTTCTGTCATTTGACCCATGAGCAATACCAGCTTTACGTGCAGTTCCTGGAAACTGAGCAGGTCAGGAGAGCCAAATCAATATCTTCAGACCGCAAAGTGCTGGGAGCGGTGTTTTTTGCCTTGAGCGTGTTGAGGAAATTGTGCAATCACCCAGACTTGCTTGTGAAATCCAGTGCCAGTGATGATAGCAGCGAAGCCCAAGCAGACCTGTGGGACTTTAAGAAGTCCGGCAAAATGAAAGTTTTGTCTGAAATTCTGAAGGTGTGGCACAAAGACAGGCATAGAATCCTCATCTTTGTTCAGACTGTGCAAATGTTGGAAATCATCGAACTATGGATGAGCCGCATTGGCTACACACACTTTCGAATTGATGGAAAGACACCAGTTAAGCGCAGGCTGAAATTGATTGAGGAGTTTAATGAGAACAAAAATGTGTTTGCAATGCTTCTCACAACTCGGGTTGGCGGTGTTGGCTTGAACATCATAGGCGCCGACAGAGTTGTTATTTTTGATCCAGACTGGAACCCAATGACCGATGTGCAAGCACGCGAAAGAGCATGGCGGATTGGGCAAACAAGAGAGGTTTCTGTCTACAGACTGGTTCTGACGGGCACAGTGGAGGAAAAGATATACCACCGTCAGGTGTATAAGCACTTCCTAGCACAAAAAGTCCTTCAGGACCCAAGACAGAGACGCTTTTTCAAGTGGAATGACATTTCGGACCTTTTCGAGGTGCCTCCCCCTCCGCCCAATTTCACTAAGCAAAACATGTCAGCATTAAAAAAGAAGTACGACAAGCTCTTCAGCAAGCTGGATGTTGGCGAGCCAGACGAGTTTGAAGTTGAGACAACTGAAATCATGAAGGCAGTGTCAGATCTTCCGATGAAAGAGCAGCACAGAACAGGAAAGGGAACCACAGATGAAAGCAATGCCATCTTGCAAACTTTGTATGATGCAAAAGGCATAAAGGCAAGCTTTAACCATGACAAAGTTGAGCAGACGTTACTTGATCGAAAACTTGTTGGTAAGAGTGCGGGGCTTGTTGCACAGAGGGCCCTTGATGCGCTCAAAAAATCAGCACGTGAACGGGCAGCTCACCACATAAGTGAACCAACCTGGACTGGGCAGCAAGGCCGAGCAGGTGCCTCAGGTGCAGCCTTGAAGCAGCTGAAGCAGGAAGGAGAAAGGTTCAAGGTCAGCAAGAAGGAGAAAGGTGAGAATGGAGAGGTCTCATCGGCAGAAATCCTGGCAGGCCTCAAAAAGCTCTCAGCAATCAGAAGCTCAGGCAGCTCAGGCCTTTCCGATCTCAAATTGGAGGCTCCAGAACCTGAGCTTTTCGACTCCGACCGCCGCATTGCTGAGGACATTTTGCGGGTCTTTCTTGACAAGAAGCTTGCCCCAAACCACCGTCTCACTACTGGTCAAGTCCTGGAGAAGCTGGCAGTGCACGTGGCAACTCATCACAACGAGCTTTTCAAGACCCTCTTGAAGCAGATGTGCACGTTGACCAAGTCCACGTCACAAAATGCTCCAGGACATTGGACTCTTCGTGAGGAATTCTGGAAGCACTGAAAGCGAGCCTGTTCAAACCAATCTTTGTCTTGGTGCAGATGTCCATTGATCCGCCTTTGCATTGCCTTGTGTATGCTACGATTTTCAGTCAAATTGCTGTGAGAAAAGGAGTGTTCATGGAGGGAGGGTAAAAGGGCCGCTTGCAACATCGTGCACGTGCAAACAGTGGAGCAGATATATACTGTAAGGCTTGGCTTGGCACGTATGTACGGCATGTGTAGCGTTCTTGAATTATGTGTCAAAGTCAAAGTTGCCATGCTAGTTCGTAGGGCTGTAGTTCACAGTTTACCAATGTTCTATGTGCAGGGGCAAGGGCCCCCTGCCTTTTATATCCTTTTATCTTTCTTGCTCGACTGGACTTGTGTTCATGTATGTTCCTAGCATAGCATGATTGCAAGGCAGCACAGTGATGCACAATCAACACATTGCCGGACGTCTCACAGTTCAATAGCCTGGCAAATGTTACTTTGGGCATTAAGTGAAACAGCAATCCTTATGCTTTGCAGTCTTTGATTCAAGACGAGCTGCAGGGAGCTTCAGTGCAATTACTCCAACGGTCGCAGATGGATGATGACTTGGAAGATGATTTTGAACCTCTTGCCAGTGAAGAACCTGATCCACTTGACGCAGAGAATTTCAATGCAATCGACTACATCAACAAACAATTTCCAAATGAAGACTCTCTTGGTCGACTTGGCAACTTTATCGAGCAGCTGAAAGTGCAAGAGCGTGAGATTGAAGAAGGCATCAAAAACGCAGTCAGGAGGCAGGCAGCTTTTGGCCGCCGAGCCAAGGCTGACTTGGGTGATGCAAAATTGGCAGTTCGCGAACTCTTCGAGCGCATCAAGGCCATTAAAGCCAAAGCAGAGCAAAGTGAAGAGCTCGTAAGTGACGTGTGCAGGGATATCAAATCCCTTGATGTTGCCAAGAGAAACTTGACCTTGACTGTGACTGCTTTGAAGCGACTGGTTATGCTGGTCACTGCTTTGGAACAGCTGCGGTCAACCGCAGAATGCAGGCATTACGAACAAGCATCTTCTTTGATTCATGCAGTCGAAGAATTATCCGGCCACTTCCAGGAACTATCCCACGTTGCACGTGTGGCGGACCTCTTGGAAAGAAAGGCTGCTGTCTTCAGTGATTTGAAGCAACAAGTGCTGGAAGACTACATGTGCTTGCATGGTGGAATTGGAAGCGCTACTCGCTTGGAGCAGCTCCCAGAAGGCTGGGGCACTGCTGCTGCCAAATGTGTAGATGCAATCGGACCTGGCATGAGACGAGAGGTCGTAACGCAGTTCTGCTTGAGATTATTGGAAGGCTACAAAGATATCTTCCAACCGCCCAAAGAGGCATCAGGCTTGGAAACAGCTGAGCGTAGATTTGCTTGGTTGAAACGAACGCTGCGGGAATATGACGACAAGTATAAGTCACAGTTCCCAGAATCCTGGCAAGTGCCATGTGGCCTATGCGACCTGTTCTGCCATGTGACACGACAGCATTTAGTCGAAATCCTTGACACCACACATCACATGGTTGACCCAGAACTGATGGTGCGTGTCCTCCTCAAGTCCATTGAATTTGAAAATGAATTAGCAAGGAAGTGGGCAGTTGAAATCGAGGACAGTGAACACTTCGACACTTCGAGACTCTCAGCGATGCCCATACTGAAGTATCCAGATGTGCTGTCAGTAAAGGCAGGCGGAAAGGCTTCAGGTTCTGCTGAAAGCAACGAGAATTCTACAGATCAGTTCGCCCCTCGCTTCCGGGGAATAATCAGTGAGTGCTTTGATGCCTACCTGGGAACTTGGGTCAGACATGAAGAAAAACAACTACTTGAAGTTTTGCAAGCACTGACTGCCGCAGACAAGATGGTAGGCCAAGAGGAGAATGATGAAGACGAGGATGAAGTTTTACGGCAAAGGTTTTTGTACAAATCAGCACCTGAGCTTTTTGCTGCCATGAGGGGCAGCATGCAAGAATGCGCCCGCTTCTCTACACACAATACGTTATTTGACATTTTCCAAGTATTCCGGAAAGTTATGAACCAGTATGCCAGCAAATTGTCCAGCATACTTCCTCCTCCGGGCCACAAATTATCTTTGGATGCAGAGGGTGTGCAAGCTATTTGTTGCGTAATCGGCACGGCAGAATATTGCGACGAAACTCTTCCACTTCTTGAGGAATCGCTGACGAAGATCATCAGTGCAGACTTCCAAGATCGAATCGGCGATGCCCTCAGTTTGTCACGTTCGTGTGGCTACAGGTCGGCAAACTAAGCTAGTGCACCCCGCACAGTGAATATACATTACTTATATATGTATAGGATGGATAATGTATACGCACACGCAGTAGTTATACTTTGTTTCTTGGTTTCTGCTTTTCCTGCTTTGTTTTTCTATAGCTTTTGCTTTGTTCCTGCAATGCTCATGCTTCGCTCGCTCTTGCTGTATGCTTTGCTATTGCATTGCTGTTGAAGAAAGGGCGGAAGAAAGGAAGCAAGGAAGGAACACAGGAAGGGAGCAAGGAACAAGGTAGCAAGTACGGAAGAAAGATACCAACAAAACAAGAGAGAGAGAGAGAGAGAGAGCAGAAGCTATTATATGCGGTACACACGCACAACTCAGCAGTAGTCTCAGTGGTTTGCATGCTTTTGAAGGGGCCAACCCCCTCTTAAGCCATGAGATTTGCGCATTGTACCGTGTCCCTGTTTGTCAACACTTTAACAGTTGCCCGCCTCAGGACGCCTGGTGGATTTTCGTGCCTGATCGTACCTGCCACGACAAGTCAGCTTTGGATCACTAAAACACCAGGACCTAGGACAACCCCTAAGATGAATCTACTCTCAATCCACTGTATGCAACCCCCGACCTACTGCACTCTCCACAAAAAGGGTTGGCTTCAAGCCTAAAAATGTGCATGATGCCACGGCAAGAGTCGCAGACTTTCAAAGTCAGACTGAAGCTACTGCGGTTGAGGAAAGGTTTGCCTCAAAACCAGGCTTCCAAGTTGAACGTCACCGAGTGCCTGCACCTGCCACCGTTCCCGAATTTGGACCAAAAAACAGCTCGAAGCCACTTTGCCAGCCGACGGACAGTCAAATTGAAACGGTTGAACTCGCCAAATGCACACCGTGCCACAGCGAGAGCTGCGCGAGACATGCCGCGTTTGTTCGGACAAAATGAATTGCCAGCAGACAGGCGCAGCGCAGGGCAGGCGTGAAAGAAATTCACAAGAACAGAAGGAACAATTCCCGCTGCAAATTTTCTAAATGCTTGCTTTTTTGGCGCCTAGATCCTGACGCAGCTGGGCTGTGTGAGTTCGCAACCACTTATTTTTGGATCTACTTTTTCCTGGCGGTCCAGTTCTATTAAGCAGAAAAACGGAGGCGGGCAAGAATGTAGCAGGCCGGAGCATTCTTTTGCGCTCAAGCTTCAGGTGCATGGATTGGGCCCCCGAGATTTTTCAGTTCGTCCTTAGGTTGCCCAGCACTGCTTCTACTTCTCGACCGGTTCTCGGCCAGGCTTCCTTCCTTGCTGGCTTGTGCTGTGGACTTCTCCTGCTAGCTACTCCTTGTTTGGGCTTTGGATTTCTGCCTCTGTTCCACCTCCTGCAGGGGTCAGAGCCTAATTGAATGAGCAGTCGCCATCACTCCAGAGGCGACGACAAGGAGCTGGGCTTGTCCTTGGAGTTCCAAGGGCTTCAGATCTCGGTTAAGGGCAAAGCGGAACGAGCGGCGTCCTTCGTGCAGCGTTTGGCCTTGGACTCTGGCCGGTGGATTGGGGATCCTCCTGGACTTGGCTGGCATTTACGCTCAGCAATCTCGCTTGCCTTTGTCTTCCGGAGCGCCGAGTGTGGCATCTTGGCAGGAGGTTGTCCTCCTGTCACCAACACCAAGGCAAGAGACCAGGGACTCCCAGAGACTCCATTGAGTCTCTCCATGCCCTGCACATTTGATGCTACTACCTCAGGTGGCTGGGTCCCAGGACCAGGAGCAGTGAGTTTCTGCGGGCCTGGAAGGCGTGCAGTCCAAGCTGGACGGGTTGGCAGTCTCAACCGCGCACCAGCGATTGACATTGGCAATCGCTTTTACGCGGTCATTAAGGGTCCCAATATCAATCCTAAGGTCTACAAGAGCAGTTTGGCACAGTTGGCCATGTGGAGGGATCAGACACTATTTGCCACGGCTTTAGAAGGAAAAGCTGATACCCCCCACCTGGAGATTTGGGGGAGGAAGATATTGTCCCCTTGCATGCAGACTTCAGTCTGGCTATGTTGCAGCTCTACGTGCTAGACTTGGCCGCTTTGGGCTTTGATTGCTTCTGCCCACACATCACAGCGCCTTGCTTCTGTGCTGACAAGGAAGGATGAGCCTTGCCGAGAACAATGGCCACAGTCTCTAAGAAAGAGTTGAGGGGGGCAGAGGACGACGTGGCGGTCGGTGGCATGAGAAATGCAGACCTCGCGGTGGAGAGACTGACGATGGTGCGGGAAGTCGGCGCAAAGCTGCGAGCAGCCTGGGAGAAAACGATTTGCGGAGGATGACCTGGCCGACGCGTTCTGCCACTTCGCGGTGACGAGAGACGAACTTCAGCACTGCATCTCACGGGGCATCGGGGTGCGGGGCGAGGCGCTTGTTGTGTGGGTGGCCATGCATTCGGGTTTAAAGCCGCCCCGCTGATGATGGGACGACTCAGCGCAGCTCTGGGGAGTTTGTCGCAGAGCCTGGTGCTACCCAACGAAGCTGTCATCCAAATTTATATAGACATCGTCCCAGGCGGTCTGTGAGGCCTATGCCATCCTACGAGCGGTCAAGCTCTGGCAACGGCGAATCCAGAGCAAGGGGCTCATCCTGAAGTCGGCCAGCTCGGTGATCTTCAACAAGGAAGCGGACTGGCTGTCAAGGCCACATGAACGAGGCGAGCCTCGACTCAAGAAGTTGCAGCACAGACTTCGCAGTGCCGCCGCCAGGGCTCGAGAGATTTGCGACCCGTGGGCCGGCGTTCCTCAGCATCCCGGAAACTTGTGGGAGTATTGTAGCGACCCAGTGTGGCGTACACGCTGTCGCTTGTCGCTGGATGTCTTGCTGTGGGATGTCATGAGCTCCAAAAAGACCGTGCGGGTCATACGCG